AATACACTGAGAAAAAATGGGTTCAAAAAATGAGAAAATCTGAAGGAAGTCCATATTAAAAAAATTGAGAGGAAGGATCCTCAGAGGCAAGATCAAGGGAGTTATTATATTATATATACCTTTAGACGAGCGGGTGGGTATCTTTGTAGACGATATGAAGGGAGTCTTCATAGGCGCTCTAAGTGGACTAAATGGGCATGGGAGTAGCTTCTATAGATGATCAGGAGGGAGTATTTATATATGAGAAGGAAGGAGGCTTTATAGATGAAAAGGGAAGAGTCCTTAAAGCCATGAAGGATGGAATCTAGAAAGATGGAATTCACACCTTTTTTGGGTCCCTAAAAAATCTTCTTTAAAAAATCCACGTCTTTTTTGGATCCCTAAAACATCTTCTTTAAAAAATCCACGCCTTTTTTGGGTCCCTAGAAAATATTCTTTGAAAAATCCACACCTTTTTTGGGTCCCTAGAAAATATTCTTTAAAAAATCCACGCCTTATTTGGATCCCTAGAAAATATTCTTTTAAAAATCGGCGCCTTTTTTGGGTCCCTAGAAAATATTCTTTTAAAAATTCTTGGGTCACTCTTGAAAAAATCCACGCCTTTTTTGGGTCCCTAGAAAATATTCTTGAAAAAAATCCACGCCTTTTTTGGGTCCCTAAAAATATTCTTTAAGCCCTTTTGGGTCCCTAAAAAATATTCTTTAAAAAATCCACGCCTTTTTGGGTCCCTAAAAATATTCTTTAAAAAAACCTTATTCATTAAAAAATCCACGCCTTTTTTGGGTCCCTAGAAAATATTCTTTAGAAAATCCACGCCTTTTTTGGGTCCCTAGAAAATATTCTTTAAAAAATCCACGCCTCTTTTGGGTCCCTAGAAAATATTCTTTAAAAAATCCACGCCTCTTTTGGGTCCCTAGAAAATATTCTTTAAAAAATCCACGCCTCTTTTGGGTCCCTAGAAAATATTCTTTAAAAAATCCACGCCTCTTTTGGGTCCCTAGAAAATATTCTTTAAAAAATCCACGCCTCTTTTGGGTCCCTAGAAAATATTCTTTAAAAAATCCACGCCTCTTTTGGGTCCCTAGAAAATATTCTTTAAAAAATCCACGCCTTTATGGGGTCCCTAGAATATATCCTTGAAAAAATCCACCCTCTTTTGGGTCCCTAGAAGAAATATTCTTTAAAAAATCCACGCCTCTTTTGGGTCCCTAGAAAATATTCTTTAAAAAATCCACGCCTCTTTTGGGTCCCTAGAAAATATTCTTTAAAAAATCCACGCCTCTTTTGGGTCCCTAGAAAATATTCTTTAAAAAGTCCACGCCTCTTTTGGGTCCCTAGAAAATATTCTTTAAAAAATCCACGCCTCTTTTGGGTCCCTAAAAAATATTCTTTAAAAAATCCACGCCTTTTTGGGTCCCTAAAAAATATTCTTTAAAAAAATCCACGCCTCTTGTACGTATTTAAAAAACTGTTCAAAAAGCCACGCCTCTTGTAGACCCTGAAAAAAATCTATATAAATTCCTTTGCCCCTTGAAGACCCTGAAACAGATCTATAAAAAGCCACGCCTCTTGAAGATCTTGTAGACACTTGGAAAATCCACGCCTAATGTAGGCCTTTGAAAAAACCCCTGGAAAAAAAATCCACGGCTCCCGTAGTCCTTTGAGAAAAAATGTTCGCCTCCTGTAGGCCTTTGAGAAAAAATCCACGCCTCCTGTAGACGCTTGAAAAAATCCACGCCTTCTGTAGACCTTTAAGAAAAAATCTACGCCTCTTGTAGACCTTTGAGAAAAAATTTACGCCTCCTGTAGACCTTTGAGAACAAATCCACGCCTCTTGTAAACTTTAGAGAAAAAATCAAACCCTACTGTAGACTTTTGAGAAAAAATCCACGTCTCCTGTAGACCGTTAAAAAAATGCACGCCTCATGTAGACCTTTGAGAAAAAATCCACGCCTCCTGTAGACCTTTGAGAAAAAATCCACGCCTCCTGTAGACCTTTTAGAAAAAATCCACGCCTCCTATAGACCTTTGAGAAAAAAATCCACGCCTCCTGTAGACCTTTGAGAAAAAATCTACGCCTCTTGTAGACCTTTAAGAAAAAATCCACGCCTCCTGTAGACCCTTGAAAAAAATTACGGCTCCTGTAGGAGGTTGAAAAAAAATCCACGCCTCATGTAGACCTTTGAAAAAAAATCCACGCCTCCTGTAGACCTTTTAGAAAAAATCCACGCCTCCTGTAGACCTTTGAGAAAAAATCTACTCCTCTTGTAGACCTTAGAGAAAAAATCTTTAAAATAAAACCACGCCTCTTGCAGACCCTTTAAAAATTCTTTTAAAACTTCACGCCTTTTGTGGACCTTTGAAAAAATTCTTCAAACACTCCACACCTCTTGTAGACACTTGAAAAACATTTTCTTGTAGTCCTTTGTAAATAAGTCTTTAAAAAATCCTGGTTTTATATGATCCTTCTACACAGAAAATGCATAGTTGGGTAATACAGATGGTCAAATTTTCTAGAGAAAATCCAAACCAAATCTATGGAAAATCCATCTGTTGGGAGACTCAACAGACGACAGATTTCAGCTTATCTATGGAGAGTCCCTTCAGCTCGTCTATAAAGACTCCCTTCAGCTCGTCTATAGAGACTCCCTTCAGCTCGTCTATAGAGACTCCCTTCTTCAGCTCGTCTATAGAGACTCCCTTCTTCAGCTCGTCTATAGAGACTCCCTTCTTCAGCTCGTCTATAGAGACTCCCTTCTTCAGCTCGTCTATAGAGACTCCCTTCTTCAGCTCGTCTATAGAGACTCCCTTCTTCAGCTCGTCTATAGAGACTCCCTTCTTCAGCTCGTCTATAGAGACTCCCTTCTTCAGCTCGTCTATAGAGACTCCCTTCTTCAGCTCGTCTATAGAGGCTCCCTTCTTCAGCTCGTCTATAGAGACTCCCTTCTTCAGCTCGTCTATAAAGACTCCCTTCAGCTCGTCTATAGAGACTCTCTTCTTCAGCTCGTCTATAGAGACTCTCTTCTTCAGCTCGTCTATAGAGACTCGCCCGTTCAGCTCGTCCATACAGACTCTCTTCTTCAGCTCGTCTATAGAGACTCTCTTCTTCAGCTCGTCTCTAGAGACTCCCTTCTTCAGCTCGTCTATAGAGACTCGCCCGTTCAGCTCGTCCATACAGACTCTCTTCTTCAGCTCGTCTATAGAGACTCTCTTCTTCAGCTCGTCTATAGAGACTCTCTTCTTCAGCTCGTCTATAGAGACTCTCTTCTTCAGCTCGTCTATAGAGACTCTCTTCTTCAGCTCGTCTATAGAGACTCCCTTCTTCAGCTCGTCTATAGAGACTCGCCCGTTCAGCTCGTCCATACAGACTCTCTTCTTCAGCTCGTCCATACAGACTCTCTTCTTCAGCTCGTCTATAGAGACTCTCTTCTTCAGCTCGCCCGTTCAGCTTGTCTATAGAGACTCGCCCGTTCAGCTCGTCTATAGAGACTCGCCCGTTCAGCTCGTGTATAGAGACTCCCTTCTTCAGCTCGTCTGTAGAGACTTCCTTCTATTTCCACTTCCTCTATTATATGTCACACTTTTCTTTCACTTACTTAAAACCTTTCTCCCATCTTATCCCCATTTGCTAATCTTCCTTTCCTCTCCCTCTCCCCTCCCCTCGGCACATGACTAATTTCCATAATGCACATTTAGCAACATTCCATTACCAAAAGGCAATGTGAGTTTATTTCATTATTAGCCGACTATCAAATATCTCGAAGTTATTTAATAAGCTTAAATAAAACAAATCACAATAATATGGCGCCCAAATGATACTGCTGCTGCTGCTGGTGGTGACGATAATGAACGATTCCGCACACATTTTGGGAATACCTTCCATCCGTTTGACGTCGATTGTCGTTGTGACACCTAAACGACAACAGCTCTTTAAGTGTTAATTAATTTGTCTAAAAAAAACACTGAAAAAAGACCAGCAAACAGGTGGAGAGAGACCGATCGAAGCCGTGAAGAGTGAAGACAACAAAACGTCAATTTAAATTCACAATTTTTTAATGGCCATTGTGTTTTTTGTTTTCGTTGTCGTTTTTTTTTTTTTTTTTTTGTTTCGATCAATTCAAAACACCACAAAAATTTGCATAACAAAACCTCAAATACCAATCACAGGCGACAAATATTCCGAAAAGAGTCGCAGCAGCCGCAGCCTCAGCATCCGCAGCACCAACAACAACAAGACTGGAGAAATATGAACATCATTTAAATGAAATAAAAACAACAAAGGCGAGAAACTGGTCATATTTATGACAGTTGTTGTCAGCATTTCTAAGCCATTGTTAATGATATTTGGCAGATCAACTCCGCAAACTTGGATTGGAATGGGATGGTCGATCGGTCGATCGGTGGGGTTTGTTGGATGTCAGAATTTCCGTTTGATTTTTTGTTTCTTTGTTGTATTTAAAACAAGTTAAGAAATAACTCACACCTTCACACTTTCCCAAAGTGAGGAAACAAGTGGATGTGAAATGGATATGGAGGTTAAGGGGGAAAATGGTTTTTGACATTTTCTACACAATGTCAAAAATGTATGAAAACTTGTTCCGAATGATAAAACGACAAATATGTAAGCTATATATCTCTTTAATAACTACTCCACCTAGTCAACATTTGATTTTTTACATTTCATACACGAATTTGACATTTTCGACATGCCATCACCGATTACAAATATTTGAAATTTTTACAACATTTTATGATTTCTACTAAATAAATGTCCATAAATTAGAAAAATCAAATAAATTAATTCACAGTTGTCATTTTTTGTTTTGTTTTTTGTTGTTGTTTTTTTTAGTTTTAGTTTTCAAATAAAAAGCGTGGCGAAACAACTTTCCTAGCTACGATGTTTAAGTGGAATGTATGCCAGCCAGCCAGTCAGCCATTAGCACAGGCAGCGTCATCAATCAGCTCAGCTTGAATATCCCATCCGCTGAACAGCATTTCGTCTAGATGGCGGCAACACTGTCATCATCATCATCATCAGATTCAGCAGCAGCATCATCCGAAATGCCATCAATTGCACTCTGTGGGTGACTTCGAGTTTTCCTTGAGACGTTCATTTTCATTTTGACATTTCAAGGAAATCTTCTCCAGAGAGACTTGCTCTCTCCTTCTCTCGACTCTTAGCTTAATTGAGAGACAGCCATAACAAAATTTACATAAAACAACAATTTGTGATAACTGGGCCATTATGGAAAGTTGAGGTCAAATGGAAATTAAAAGTGGTAGATAAATGAAAAATTTTTGTAAATTGACTAATCGACGGGGGAGGGGAGAACTTAAGAGGAATCTCTATAGAAACGAACTGAAGGGGTCTCTATAGACTAGCAGAAGGAAAGGGAGTTTCTATGGTGGAGGTACAGCTAGTCTTTATAGTGGAGCAGAAGGGATGCTCTATAGAAGAGCTGAAGGGAATCTCTATAGAAAAGCTGAAGGGAGGCTCTATCGAAGAGCTGGAGGGAGGCTCTATAGAAGAGCTGAAGGGAGTCTCTAGAGAAGAGCTGAAGGGAGTCTCTATAGAAGAGCCGAAGGGAGTCTCTATAGAAGAGCTGAAGGGAGTCTCTATAGAAGAGCTCAAGGCTGCTTTTATAGGCGAGCTGAAGGCAGCTTCTTTATAGGCGAGCTGAAAGGGAGCCTTTATAGGCGAGCTGAAGCAGGGAGCCTTTGTAGACGAGCTGAAGCAGGGAGCCTTTATAGGCGAGCTGAAGCAGGCAGCCTTTATAGGCGAGCTGAATGGGAGCCTTTATAGGCGAGCTGAAAGGGAGCCTTTATAGGCGAGCTGAAGCAGGGAGACATTATAGGCGAGCTGAAAGCAGCCTCTTTATAGGCGAGCTGAAGGCAGCCTTTATAGGCGAGTTGAAGCAGGGAGCCTTTATGGGCGAGCTGAAAGGAATCTCCAATGAAGGGAATCGCCTATTTAGCTACTTAAAAAAATCCAAGGCAATTGGTTTTCTTGAAAAAAATATTTTTAAAAAAATCCACGTCTACTTATAGTCCTCTAAAGTATTTTTAAAAAATCCAAGCCTATTGATAGTCCTTAAAAATATTTTCGATCTTGTCTTGTTTCAGATAATACCAAGCGTGAGCTCTTCTTTATAAATCGCAAAAAAAAAATCAATAAAGAAATCAAATGAATACAAAATCTCTTTCTTCTTTCCGTTTTTTTTTTATTTTTCTTCTTTGGACAATGACCCAATCAGTTGAGGCGATAAATTGTCCATCCTGCTTTTTTGTGACTTGTAATCTATGACATTTGCTTCGCTGCACCGACCACCTTGGAGACAATTTTGATTCTCGGTTAGTAGGCGTCAGACATTAAATGTTCGTAGATGAAAGGAAAAAGAGCCGATGATGCAACAACATCAATGAGAACACGATTGCGGGACGAAGTGATGTTGCCACCGATTGTGTGAGAGAGTGGGCGTTGTTTTTGGTTTCTGTGTCGTCCGTTTTGGGTTTTCTTCTGGGAAATTCCTTTCACTTGATAGTTTCGGTTATCACGCAAATTGCTCGTGAGGTGTTGAAACTACATGCACGCACACACACACACACACTGAGCTGTTCAAATATTCGTCAGGAGGTTGACACATTCAGGAGGAACGAAAGAAAGAAAGGCAATCGTTGTCGGGTCATTGTAGATTGTAGGGCAACAATGATTGTTGCAGATTTTGTTATGGGATAAAAGGAGTCACATCTACATCTGCTATGTGTGTGTGTGTGGCTGTGAGTATGGGTGTGTATGTGTGTCCAAAAAATTGTCTCTCAGAGGATGTTAAGTGAAAATATCTACCTAACACCATCGAACATCAGTCGAACATCTTCTGATTTTTTAGCCAATTCACCTCACTTATCTGTCGGGCTATCACTTTTTTTTTGGCCAACAGTTTCTTTCTTTCCTTCCCTTCCATCCTTGCCTTATTTTTGCGATAATTATAGTTGTTGTTGTTGCTGCTGTTCGTTTCGTTACCCCGTAATTGACAATTTACGAGCGTAACGCTATTGTGTCCGGCAACACCATTATCGGCAGCAGGAGCAAAGACAGCAGACTCTTGCATCCTTTTTTTTTCGTTTGCCCTGTCAAATACGAAAGTCTTTAAGATAACAACCAACAAAATTGTTGTTGCTGGTATTGTTGTTGTTGTTGTTGGCAGTGCAACAAGGCAATGAGAAAGGTAATTGTGGCCAAATTAACTTTAAATAGTGTATAATTTTCTCGGCTATCACTACATCTCGTTCGCATCTCTCCGTTCTGAGACTTGAGGTTCGGTTCGACTACTTATTGTGTTTTTTTTTCTGCCTTGTATTGTGGAGAAGCCACCAAAGAAAAACAAAATCACAGAAGAAAAAAATCTCTCCCCGATAACAGTGTTCGGCATAATTTGTTACGTTTGTAAGCATTGACGACGTTAGCGACTCTAACCGCTTCCCATTGATCTTTGGCGCAGTAAAGGTTTGTTACTGTGGTTGGTGTTGTTGTTGTTGCTGTTCTTGCCCCTTCATCAGTTGTCAGGCAAACGGCCGCAATCATCATCACCGTCATTGTCGTCGACATCGTTGCATTTGATTTCATTTCATCTTCAACTCGTTAAATGCCCTCACTTTAAGTAGTGATGATTTATCGCTTCGGACTCCCAACAACAACAACAAATCCGAAAAAGGTGGATTCAAGTAATAACGTGAATGTTAAAGAAAATGGTCTGTCATTTCATTGATAAACCACAACAAAAATGATAAATTACAGAAAACAAGGGGAGAAGGGGGAAGCATTTAATTTGTCAGCAGGCTGGCAATTGGATTTCTTAAAAATATGTTTTCAAGTAGACCAATAGGCGTGGATTTTTTAAAAAAATATATTTTAAAATGTAGACAAATGTTCGTGGATCTTTTTTTTATTTCAAGTATTTTCGATAAGCGTAATTTTTTCAAGTAGCTAAATAGGCACGGATTATAAAAAAATTAAAACAAGTTAATGTGATCGAGCCAAAACATCAGAAAGCAGGTGGACTAGACCAGATTATAGAAGGTTTCGTCGGGGGGGCTGAAGACTTATGAATACCCGAAGAAGTCCAGAAGTTATTTTATACCCTCCACCATAGTACGGAGGGTATATTCATTTTGTCATTCCGTTTGTAACTCATCGAAGTATTAATTTCCGACCCTATAAAGTATATATATATATATATATATACATATACTTGGTCAGGGTAAAATTCTAAGACGATCTAGCCATGTCCATCCGTCCGTCTGTTGTAATCACGCTATTATCTGAAGGAATTGAGATAGGGTGCTGAAATTTTGCATAGGTTTGTCTTTTGTGTGCAATTGTAAACAAAGTAAGGTCGATATATGACCCAATTTTGAAATTTTTGGCACAGGTCGTTTTTCAACCGAATACGCTGAAATTTGGTAAAAATGAGTTCTTATTGGGTATATAGCTCCCATAAATAATTATAAATATAAGTCCATTTTTCTGGTAAATGGTGCATATAAGGCCCTATATATTTTCGATTTGCACAAATTTGTCACAGCGTAATGAAATAAGCCTGGAATGATGTGTGCTTGAGTTTCATGCAATGGGTACCAAATTATAAATATATGCTCCCATATACATTTTCGCCCGATTTTAGGTAAATGCTGCACCAAAGTCCCTATATATATTTCGATTTGCACGAAATGTGGCACAGCGTAATAAATGAGGTATAGAATTATGTGTGTTAAGTTTCCTGAAATTCGGTTCAGATTTAGATATAGCTCCCATATATATTTTCGTCCGATTTAAGGTAAATGGTGCACCAAAGTCCCTATATATATTTCGATGTGCACGAAATTTGGCATAGCGTACTGAATTAGGTTCAGAATGATGTGTGCCAAGTTTCGAGAAAATCGGTTCAGATTTAGATATGTCTCCGATATTTAGTTTCGTCCGATTTAAGGTAAATGGTGCACCAAAGTCCCCATATATCCTTCGATGTGCACGAAATTTGTCACAGAGTACTGAATTAGGTCCAGAATAATGTGTGCCAAGTTTCGAGAAAATCGGGTCAGATTTATATATAGCTTCCATATATAGTTTCGTCCGATTTAAGGTAAATGGTGCACCAAAGTCCCTATATATCTTTCGATGTGCACGAATGATGTGTGCCAAGTTTCGAGAAAATCGGTACAGATTTAGATATAGCTCCCATATATATTTTCGTCCGATCTAAGGTAAATGGGGCTCCAAAGTGCCCATATATCTTTCGATTTGCACGAAATTTGGCATAGGTTACTGAATTAGGTCCAGAATGATGTGTGCTAAGTTTCGTGAAAATCGGTTCAGATTTAGATATAGCTTCAATATATATTTTCGACCGATTTAATTTAAATTGTGCACTAAAGACCCAAAGATTGGCCGATCGGCACACAATTTTGTACAATGTAATGTTACTATAACCTTTCGTGTGTCAAGTTTTCTTGAAATCGGTTCAAATTTACATATACCTTCTATATATATTTTCGTCCGATTTTAAGTATATGATACACTAAAGGCCCATACAGACTCATACACGTACAGGAATTAATAAAAATCTAGCAAGTTTTCTTGAAATCGGTTCAGATTAGCTTCCATATATAATTTCGACCTATTCATGAAACCAGAAGTTTCTAGAAGATCCTCGGTTAGAAGGTCCAAGAAGAATATCAGTTCCTTAAACATTCAAAAGGTCCCTTAAAAGCCCAGGAGATTTCTCAGATGACCATTTTTTTTAGAATAAACACAAGGTTGTTAGAGGTCCAGAAAGTTATTAGTTAGATGTACAGTAGTTCTCCGTTAATATTCAGAAGGTCAGAAAATGGGTTTGCAAAAAATTCCTATTCCTCTGAAGTCTTGAAGATATGTAGACATCTACTAGAAACCCTCTATGAAAATCTCTGAAAGTTTTAATGAGACCATACGTAAGTTTTTAAACTCGAACATGTGTGGATTCTAGAAAAAAAAAAAAACAGAAAATCTTCAGAAGACCATAGGTTCTTGGTAGAATAGATT